AAGGCAAACATTAATACCTCACTGCCATTAAGTGTCATAAAGTAAAAATGCTTATGACCCTTCAGGGCATACTCCTTTTGTCTTGCCTCGTGCGCATGCAGATCCAGGACCTAGAAAAGTTATAATTACACCTGTTATATATAAAATATGCAATGGGAAACTGCGCTACCTCACACAAACAGATGAACAGGCAACATATAGAAGTCAAAAGAATTATCAAATTGCTATCCTGCCAAAACATAGATGGATGGTAGCCAACAGGTTGGTATCCTCTTCCAATCCTACTTTTTANATTACTATATTACGAATAAATTTTGCTATGTAAAATTCACAACCTATTAGCTTTGCATCTCTAGCACCAAGAGGCAACACCATATAAAGGTGCGGTTGGTCGATTGCCAACTTTAAAAAAGGCAAGTTATGAGGAATTGCCATAATAATGAATGTGTCAGGATGCCCTGTCCTAGGAGTGCACACTACAGCAATACCATGGTGTGCTGCAAAATGGGCATAGGGTTCCATTACAACATCTGGGTGTGCGGGAGTATGAGTTGATGGTCTCCACATCACGATCACGGAGACAGTGAGAGTGAGAAGTCAATCCGACCACATTGACACTCGGATTTGCAAATTGCTATAAGACATAAAAGGCTTCCGCATCATGGATGGATGAGGGTAAGAGGGTAAAGAAGCTAGTCCGATAGAGTTGGAACTCAGATAGGTAGTTGGAATATATATGCTCGTTCACAGGAAAGTGAACATTAGTAGATACTCTAAAGTGGAAGAGATAATATCGTGTATCTAGAAGAGACTAACTGAACAGACGAAAAGGTTAGAGAAATTGACAAAACAATTATATTGTAGGATAATAAAACATGACAGGAAGAGAACCGTCGCAAAACCAAGACTTAAGGACAAAATTATAGAGATAAAAGAAGTGATTACAGGATAACCTCATTAAGACTAGTGTGGGTAAAAACAAATGTCTTATATCTCCTTTTCCATCTTTAACCCGCACAGATGGTCAAATATTGTGAATGCAGACTCACCTCCCCAACATATTCTATAAGAAACTGCCCTTCGGAGACATCCTCAAGCAGCTGCAGGCCATAACCCTTCTTTCCACATTTGAAGCACTTCAATTTAGCATACTTACGCTTCTGAAACTGTAAGCAGACATAAATGGAGGTTACACAACCTGCATAATATAAGCAATATACAGTAAACTTGAATGCCATGCAAATTTAAGAACCTGCTGATTCGAACAGCGCTCTCCACATGGACAAGACCCTCGAACACACTCAACGTTGAGCATCCGATTCAGGCATCCATCTCCGCAGCCCATTCGGCCATGTGAAGGAGGGTTGCAATGGCAGACCATGATCTAATAGAAAAGGATAACAGGGGAAGATATAAAAGATAGAGAAGGAAGCAACTCCGAACATATTCATAAATTTGTCTGTATGCAAAGAAATACAGATAGGTAGGGATGTTAGAAGCTAAAGATTCCTTATGACGTGTACAAATACGTTACCTCAGGAGCAGGACAAACTATGACAATGTCGTGCATCATATACTTTTGATTCAGATTAAAAATGGTCACGAAAGGCCTATAAAATGTCGGTCAAATATTTCGCCTCTGTATTGACAACTAAAAATTCTTATTTTTCAGCTACAATAGTATAAACAAATGATTTGGTGCTGCAGAAATCACTAAAGAATCTTTACAAACCCTTAAAACTTCTATCTTTACAAACTCGAACTTGCTAACACAATGCTCAGAAGTCCTGCTTCCCTCCTACTAGATAATAAGTTTGAAAATGCAAGGAAACCACAGTTAATACTGAAAGAATACAAAACACCTTTTGTTGGAAAGCTCAACCCAGAAAAGAGTGTTGCTAAGGAGAAATTAACTCAGGGATTGCGGTCCTTTTCTTTTGGGCACCTACTATATAACTCTTACATCCTGAGTGTGAATCGAAGTTGCTTTCGTTTAGAAGTAAATTACTGCTCTATTATTTTTAATGCATTTTAGCATTCAACTTAAGGATACTGATAATATCGAAGACTGCCTTTGGATGACATCATTGAAGGGACACCCAGAAGCACCAGTCCCCTTGTCAACATGCAATATTCTTAAAGTGAACTAGTTCATACAAGTAATGTCTACATCCAGGGTTAAATTTGCCGGCTTGAAAGATTTCATAAACATTGTGGCACCCCACTAATCAGGTCATTATTTTAGGGAACCATAGAGTAGGCACAAACAATATTCTTTCAAATTAAGTACCTAAAACAGCTTTTCAAGCCAAAAGTATGCTTAAAGCTAAGACAACATCAAGGAAAGACAGATAGAGAATGCGTAAAGGAGCATATAAGAAACAAAATAGAAATGATTTTGGTAATTTAGAGTTACATTTGACCAAATATTTTTCAAGAAAACTTCGACAATGCTAAAGGAGAAGATTGATAAGAGTTATGTAATGTAGGAAGCAACATTCCACAGCAAATCTCAAGGAATAGCCAACTCCAAAGGCCGGAGAATTCCAAAGCAAGCAGAAAGTTATAAATCAAGCAAGTTAACAATAAGGGGAAGGGCCGGACCACAAGGGTCTATTATACGCAGCCTTACCCTGCATTTCTGCAAGAGGCTGTTTCCACGGCTTAAACCTGTGACCTCCTGGTCACATGGCAGCAACTTTACTAGTTAAGCCAAGGCCTCCCTTCCTAATACATAACTATATGTTTTCAAAAACATGACTCCCCGAATTATTATTCTTATTTCAACATCTAACCATCTTGCCACGCCCGGAGAAGAGGGAAATGTTTCTAATTTGTTAAATGGACAACAACAGTGACAATGAAGCAACTCTACTAAGAGTGAAGCAACTCTGCTGAAAATAGCTTTTGTTTTTAAGACAAGCCTCCCTCAGAGAAAAAATGGTAGGTTAATTATTTGGTGCATGTTAGGGTAAAGCCAGCTTTACATTTACTCTTTCCTGATGAATTTTTATATTTAGAGACTAGTCTGCTCCAAGACCACTGCAACATGGGCCTTTATTTTCCTGTTGTTTTTTATTCAAGATGCAGGCCCAGAGTGTATGAGGTAATAATGCAGAGTGGATCAAACATTCACCTCATCAATAGTTTGACTTTTGCGGCTACGATGCAGGAATAAGTTTCTCCTGATCAGAGTCCAAGATGATTGATGGGCAACTGCAATGCAGACATGCAAGGAAGATAAGAAAATTAGCACAAATGTCTTCAATGAAAATTTACTCATAGTCAACACCAGCGTCATTGCAATACTACAATCATTAAATACCAAGTGCCTTCTTCTGTCCTGATTGATTTGAATTCAAGCGTCTACTGAGGGCATCTTCCTCACCAGAGGCATCCGATATTTCCAGCTCAGCATTAATTTCTGAATTTGATTTTTCTTGTGCAATCGAGCAATCAGCAAAGTTTCTATCCAAGTTATCCTTACAAGTCCTTTAATGTTACAGGGGATACATATAAGCAACAAACTCTTGGGAAAAAACAAACATCACATTTGCATAACCACAATAGTTTGCAGATCCATTAGCAAACCTCAAATATTTCAACATTCAAATACTATTAAGAAACTTGCAGTAAGAACAGATTAGTCGCAGAAGACCATTATATTCCATAAAACGACAATTGTAGACCTGATAGCTATCTAGTATGTATTCTTTCAATAGGTGAACTTCAGTTTGCACGAGACGATCTATACGCAAAAACAATATATAATTTTTCTGCTATAATATGATAATACTATATCGGGTAGTAGCTAAAAATCTTGAAAGAGAAGTATTACTCCCTCTGCCCCAATTTATGTGGCGGTGTTTGACTAGGCACAAAGTTTAAGAAAGATAGACTATTGAAACTGGTGGTCTGCATCAAGTCATAGACATTTGTGTGGCTATAAATTATTTCATTAAGGGTAAAATGGGGAGTTTAAAGTAAAAATTGTTTCCAAATAAGGAAGTATGACATTGTTTCGGGACAAAATAGAAGGAAAGAATGGCACATAAATTGAGAAAAAGGGAGTAATATGTTTGTCAATAAAGTTGGTAGATGATTTTTTTGATAAGGTAGTAAATATAGTTGGTAAATGAATGCAACCCCTTCTTATTCCTCTTTTTTTTTGCTTTTTTTCACATTAATGGTGTCCAGCTAGCTTACATGCACCTTAACCAATCAGCATTCCGGCCAAAGCACAAGTTGCCAAGGTAATCCTGCCAACTAAGGCTAGAGGAAATGGGCTCAAACCAACTTTTGACGCTGGGATCTAACTTAGGATCCCCAAGTCATAATGTGACTCTTCTTTTGCAAAGTTTAACTAAATAGATCAGTGATTAGACACAAATACCTACAGAAAAAGGGCTTATTTTCAATTGGATCGGGTAGGAAAGGAAGCATGTAATTAAATTTCACTCAATAATTCAATATAGAATCACCCATAGCAATAAGCATCAAAGGTCTGCATGCTGGTCATGATAAACAGAAGCTGATGATTAAATTATGGACTCCAAGAAGGGAAAAACTTATAAAATCACTTTCTCGTCTTCTTCTTTTCTTTCTCGATAACTTAAGGGTCAAGGATCATGTTTTATTAGCTTTCTAACCCAAGCAACACCATATTCAGGGATGCAAGTGTGAGCTAGTGCAATTTACCAATAAAAAATTGCTTAGTTAGTTCTCAAAGTAACAGGAAAAAAGTCTTCTTACAGCACCAAACTTCAAAGAGACATAGCAGAAAACTAATAGGAAAAGCGGAATATCAGCACATTCATAACGAGGAGGACGAGTAACCACATACCATTTGCAGTTTGTTTCATCAATTTGATCAGCAAGTTCGGAAGCTATACGTCTCCACTTCAGGCAATCATCACACTGCACCCAGGCATTTCTTGGTTGAAAACGAGGCTGACTCACCACACCCCGTGTAATGTCCAAGTCTGAAATGCCTCCATTTAAGGTTTTATATCTCGATCCAACTTCTCCAAACCCGTATGGTGCTTCGTTTTCTAAGACATTAATTTAATGTGGTCATTTAATACTACTTTTGCATGAAGGTCAGCCCTACGATATTGAACTCATAAAATTAATATCATATTTCCATTATCTTAACCATACCTGTTTCTTGGTGGTGTTTCACCTCACATAAACTCGTGACATGGTCACTCTCATGTTTCACTTCAAGCTTATTATCTTGTTTTTCTTTGTTTCCCTTCTTTTTAGAAGCACTTCCTCTACTTTTGGATGACTTCGGGTTCGGGACTTGTGACAGGCCTTTGCCAGATACATCTGATCTTTCACCTTTGGGAACATTTTGTCCATCATGAGAGGATACTTTTTTCTCAGACAACTCAGTCTCTGGTGACACGGTACCAAGGCTAGAGCAAATATTACCATCTATGCCACTTTCAGACTTTGAAGTAGCACAGGAGATAGTTAAGTCTGACACTCCTGAACAAGGTAACAGTTCTCCTGAAACAATCTCAGTGCTCGATATGTTGCCTAAGCCAATCCGCCCTGGTGTCAGAGCAGAAGTATCAGAACAACAAGATCCCCCTTGTACTTTTTCTCCTTGGATGAGTTGCCCAAATATTTGAGAACTGCTCATACTATCTGGACTAAGCAGATCCTTCACACCAGAACTGGCTAACTTTGGGAGACTATCTTTTTTCCTTCCTTTCTTGCTCCTGCCATACACACGCAAACTCAGAACATCACCAGGAGCAACAGATGGCTTAGGCATAATTAAATCATTCAACTCTTCTCGGCCTCTCTCATTTATTTGAGCATCCGGAACCAGGTTGATAACTTCTGAGTCAGGTGAAGTTCCAGCATCTGAGCACCTGTTATCAATTGATGTCCCCTCCTCAGAAAATGAGTCATTGTGAAAGTCCAAGAGTTTGTCCGCTGGATTTTGATTGATCTTCTTTCCTGATTGGCATATGTCTGATACAGAAACATACACATTATCCAAATTCCCATTGCACCTGCCGAACTGCCGACTGGGCAACTCTCCCTTCAGCTGATCATCAAAATTCCTGGCAACATTTGACGATCCATTGAGCTCTTTTCCCATAGTGCACTGTTTGTCAGTGTGATCATCAATAAGAGGAACAATATCCATCAGGCAACGTGAACCAAATTTAACTTTCAAGGTGATGGGGCCTGTAGGAATGGAGATTTTTCCCTTTGATTTCCGCGAGTTTTGACCAGTGTGATTCTTACCCTGCTTCTCCTTTTCCTGACCATTCTTTGTTGTTTTTGATTTTATGTGCTCACTTTGAGCTATCTCGAGTGCGCTGTTGTGCTCAACAGCTTGCACCATATTTCCCAGCAAACCCCAAAATTCAAATTGATGAACGGGCGTGCTTACTGCAATAGCTTAATTTTCTTGTAATTTGCAAGAAATTGAAATCTGGAGATGCTTTCTTAACTGTTCTTCTCCTGCCACTTCTTGTTGTAGCCTGATTCTGGCTTAACTTAGCTTAGCATCCACTCCTCCTCCGACAGGCGATACACTTGTTGTTGGATATTTACTTTCTAAAGCATCAACAACTTTTATAGTCTTTTTTACTTTTATCATTCTTCTAATGTAAAGACACCTCGGCTATGCTGATTGAGCCAAAAGTAGCAGTGGCGACATCAGTTCCTGAAATATCACATGCAACCATTCTCTGAGAAACATCATCATCTTTGATCCTACAAGGATCAGGGTAATTGCAAAGAGAAAGATGAGTTAGTGGTGCAATTGGGATACATGACAGGTGAACTTTGATGACTGAGCGAGCATATCAACAGTTTTACCTAGCAACACTCAGAGAAAGTAGAGATCTCAACAATCATTTGTCCTTATACCCACACACAAAAATTCACTGCAGTAATCTGTGAGTGCAAATAGCAGTTAAGAAATCAATATAGGCAACAACAAGTTTTTCAGAAACCAGACATGCAAAAAGGCACTAACGCCCACCCGATCAAAGATAGTCAATCGCATAGAGATGAATACTCAAATTACCAATCTACACGTTACGCAATTCAAAAAAGCATGATCCAAAATTCTCTTCTCTAATTAAGATAAAACAGGACAAAGCAGCTCTTTCAACCCACTTCTAAACCATTGCCTAAACACACTTACAGAATATTTAGCAGTTCAACAGCACAACCCGAAAAATAATCTTCTTTACTAACAAATTAACTAAAAGAGCACAAATCCCTCTTTCTACAAGTCATTATAATCAACCTTAGTAAAAAAAAAAGGGGTAAACCAAAAAAAGGAAACACGAGCATCTATATACTTAAAGAAGCTTAACCAATTCAATAGTACATAATTAGGATAAAAACAAAAAAGAAAAACACCAAATAGCCAATTTAAATTGCATAAGATATAGACAAAATGCGAACCTAATAAAGAAAAGATTATCTCTAACTACATTCAGCTCTATATTTCGCGTGTGTGTGTGTGTGTGTGAACGCAGAGAGACATAAAATTCGTCTCTTTTGCACCAAAAAATGAAAACCTGAGCAGCTAACATTACCCAACCCATCAAAACCCTAATTCCAAAGCTGCAACGCCAATGCCGATACATAACAAGTACAAAAATAGCACGCACCATTCACACAATAAAAATTTTAAGAAAGTCCAACTTAAAACCAGAGATCATGTAGGGAAAAGAAGACAAAGGCGACTAACCCGGAGGGGAAAAAACCAATAGAGAAAGAGGTTGAAAATGGTATGAAATAGCAATTTCAAGGTAATTTAGAGAATTTAATATCCAACTATTTTTTGTTTTTCCTGGGTTGGTTCGTGTAGAGAGAGAAAGTAAAAGGAATCGCTTAGCGGTGTCCGCAAACGGTTTTTATGGTATGGAAAGGGAGAAAGAGCTCCTCCGACCGGACCAAAATCCTATTATGAGAAGAAAAAAAAAATAACACGAAAAAAGAAAATATTGTGAATTTGCAAAATAAAATTAATGTATCATATCAGTTTTATCAATTAAGTGTTATTATCTGTTAATAATAATTATATCTTATGTTTGTTTTATTTTAATTTATAATTCTTATTACTATTTGATGTTCCGACAGCTTAGACATATTTTTCACATCTCCAACTACTTCGGTATATTAGATTACTCTATAATCTATAACAAGAAGTAAGGAGATGAAAAGAATTATTTGGTTTTTTTTTTTATAATTCTCATAGTTAAGAGAAATTATGCAAATAATTGGATAAATTCAATTGCAGTTCCATTGTTTTCAAGAAATAAATTTGTATTTCTGCATTCTTAAATTTGTGTATATCTATTAAAATTTTAAAATTTATTACATAATTAGTACACATAATTTTTTCCAAATAAAATTTGAACCTTTTTTACTTTCTTTTTTTTGTTAATTTTTTTTTCCTTCTTTTGTTAAGATCGAAGTTACTATTGTTATCAAATGCATGTTGATTGGTGATAATGCCAGACAAAATTTGTTCCTGACATACTGTTGTACGCATTAAATTTGTTGTACGCATTAAATTTGTTGTACGCATTAAATTTTGTTGTACTCCATGCACTAATAATTGTGCTCTAGTTTGGCTAGACAAAATAGAAATTATACTTTGGCTACAAAATTTTCTCTTTTGACACACAAATTGAAAAAGGGCAACTAAAATATCTGTAAGTTGGTGGGCTGAAGTTTCTATATTCTGCGTTAAACAGAAGAGTAATTGGTTGACACGTCAATAAGGGTGTTTTAGATATTTTATTTGTCGCCTTTTCTCTTTGCCCAAAATTTCTTTGGTCTTCTCCTTCTTATTTTTAGTTTTTTTTTTATTATTATTATTATTTGTATGGAACCACAACTTACTGAAAGAGATGTTTGACTTTTGATTATGATAAGTTGTTTTTTTAGTTAGGATCATTCGGTACATGAGATAAAGATAATAATTTCGGGATAAGATTTGAAATTATCCTATGTTTGGTTTGGGATATTAGCTAATTCGGGAATATATTTTACACTAAAATGGTGAGATTAATTATCTCATATAGAAGGTAGGATAACTAGTCCCATAGGATATCCCACCCTATGGGATATCCCACCATTGTAGTAAATAATCTCTTATATTAAAGGTAAATGTATTTTAAGATACTAGTCTTAGAATATGCACTTTGTGTGTATTCTCGTATTAATGAGTAAATAATTTTTAAAAAATAGTCAAAACATGGACTGTACTATTAATGACATAACAAAATTGATGCATATATAATAGTTTATATATGCACCAACAGTTTATAATCGCCAACAGTTGTTGTTTTCTGTTTGAAAAGAACCAATTTAACATATACTTCTCTCTCTCTCTCTCTCCTAGGCGCACGATAGAGTGCTTCTAACGTGCGCTTCCTGCCGGAAATGGCTAGGGGAAAGCAGCGGAAGGCAGTAAACAAAATTCAACTATCAAATTGGAAAACGAAGAAGATCAATCGAAGGCCTACATCAGAGGAAATTGACGAAGTTGAGCCCGAGGAAACTAGGTTCCTAATATGAAAATTTCGAGCCCAGATACGATGAGGACGCCACCAATTAGCACCAATCTTTGTTTGGAGAAGTAGGTTTCAGTGACAAATACTAAGAACAATACATCAATGAATGTTGGGAAGACAAATGTGAAGAGTCAGGGGGTGGACCGGATGGAGGGCGATATGCAGAGTTTGGATAAGCAAATTTCAGTCCCTAATTCTACAACTACTAGTTCTATGAATCTAAGGAAGAGCAATGAGAAGGAACAGGAGGCCCATCAATTGAATGAGAATACAGGTGCTAATCGAAAATTGATTATGCAAACTACAGAGGAAAAGGAGTAGAAGTGGGCAAATCTATTCGCCAGCAATAGGTTGGCTGCTATGGGTATGAATTTAAAATATATAGCTCCTCTTATTGAGGATGGTGAAAAGATTGTACAATTGAGGAAGGAAGATGTGGATAAGGAGACGGAGAAGTGGAAGACATCAGTGATCCTTTATGTGGTGGGAGACTCTCCTACTATAGGAGCTTTAGAAAGATTCATCAAAGCTCAATGGAATTTTGTGGCAAAACCTAAGATCTACTACCACAACGAGGGCTACTTTGTTATCAAATTCAACACAATGGAAGATAGGAATGAGGTAATTTTTTCTGGACCACACACTTTAAACAACATACCAATAATAATCAAGGCTTGGGAGGCTAATTTTGATTTTAATGATGAAATTTTAAGTACAATACCATTGTGGGTCAAGTTACCAAACTTACCTCTAAATTGTTGGTGCATGGAGTCGCTTAGTCGAATCAGTAGTGTATTGGGAAATCCTATATATGCTGACGAGTGTACTTCTAAGATAGAGAGAATTTCTTTTGCTAGAGTTTTGATTGAGATGGATGTGACCAAGCCTCTCCATCAAAGTGAAGGATCCAAGTGGGGAAGTATTTCATCAGGAAATTTGGTACGATTGGCAACCTGATTACTGCAATAAATGTTTACAAATTGGACATGTATGTCCCAATGAAACCATTCAGAAAATGCACACACAGCAGGAGAGGGAGAAAACCTAAGAAACAGATACAAGTGTGGCATGCTAAAGCTAACAATTAGATTGTACCTCAAAGGGTTGTTGACAATCCAACAAAGGTGACACAAAAAGATAAAGAAGCATTACCTACAGTGAAGACAATAGAGCAAGAAAATAATTGGCAGATGGCAGTGGGCAAGAATACAACAAAGCATGGTCAAAGTACAAATATTGGGAAAGAGCTGCTTAAGGTTACTAATGGATTTAGTACATTAACGGAAAAAGAGTGTCATATGCAAAATGATCTTGGAAACACAAAGGATAGAGGACAAAGTAGCCAGAGTGGAGGAGTGAAGAGTCCTACACCACCTCCTATTTCTAAATGAGTTTGATTACTTGAAATGTCAGGGGCTTGAATAAGTTGTACAAACAAAAGGAGATTAAAGTGTTTATACATAGTAATAGAGTAAAAATAATAGCTATAGTGGAGCATAGAGTGATAGAGCAGAATGCGGAGAAAATAATAAAGAAGATAGTTCCTAGTTGGAGTTGGCATGCCAATTATAATTCAGATAGAGGGAGGATCTGGATTCTATAGGATCATAATGCTATAGATTATACCCATATCAAAGCGGCAAATCAATATATCCATGGACAAGTTAAATATCAGACTATTGACTTCTACTTAACTGCAATCTATGGACTGCATAGTGTGGGTGACAGAAGGAATTTGTGGATAGATCTGAAAGAACTAGAAAATTCACAGGAAGGACCGTGGCTTTTAATGGGTGATTATAATGCAGTAATTCATGTGGATGACAGACTAAACGGTGCAGAGATTCAAGAACAGGAAACTAGAGATTTTACTGATTTTTTATTTGAAACAGGATTGACTGAACTGAAGACGGTGGGAAGAAAATACACATGGACCAACAACCACATATACAGCAAAATTGATAGAGCAGTGGTAAATGGGGATTAGGTGATAAGACTACCTCATCTAGAAGTGACAGTACTTGATCCTGGGTTCTCAGACCACTCTCCCTTAAGTATTACCTTTGATAATCATCCAGGAATAAGAGCTAGACCTTTTAAATTTTTGAACCATTTAACTGAACATCAAGAATTTCTGGATAAGGTAGCAAAAGGTTAGAGGGAACCAGTGAGCAGGGATTTTCTAAAAAGCACATGGCAAAAGATAAAGAATGTGAAGACTGAAATGAAACTTCTTAGTAAAGAAGAGTATAATGCAGCAGATATGAGGATCAATACCATCAGAAGCAACTTACAAGAGGCTCAAGAACAAATGAGAGTTCCTGGGCATGACCCTGCTTTGTTTGATAAGGAAAAATCACTAAAGATGGATTTAGAGAAATGGGTGAAAATTGACGAGATGATAGCTCGGCAGAAGTCAAGGGTGAAATGATTAAAGCTTGGAGACTCTAATAGTGCCTATTTTTTTGTTTGTATGAAAAACAGAAGTGCTATTAATCAGATCAAAACATTAGTAACAGTAGAGGGAGTAATGTTACAAGCAGAAGATGATATCAAGGAGGAGGTCCTGAAATTTTACAAACAGCTTCTTGGCACAGCAGCACCCCAATTGCCTGCAGTAAAACTCTCAGTTTTTTCAAATGGTCCTAAACTGAATAGAAGCCAACAACTCCAACTGATTAATCCTATTACAAGAGATGAAGTTTACATGACTGTTAAGGACATTAATGATATGAAAGCACCAGGAGTGGATGGTTTCAATGCATATTTTTTCAAAAAAGCTTGGCCTGTGATTGGTAATGAGGTAGTAGATATTATACTTAATTTTTTTTGAGACTGGAGTTATATACAAACCAGTTAATTGTACTTCTGTTACTTTAATACCAAAAGTCAAGAACCCTTCTTCAGTAAAGCAATACAGGCCAATCTCCTGTTGTTCGGTGATATATAAGATTGTGTCGAAAATTCTTACAAAGAGAATGCAAGTGGTGATGGATATTTTGGTGGACAGAAGTCAGTCAGTTTTTGCTCCTGGGAGACTAATCAATGATAACATAATCTTTAGCCATGAACTGGTGAAAGGATATGGTAGGAAGGGTATATCTGCAAGATGTATGCTGAAAGTGGACATGCAAAAGGCATATGACTCTGTAGAGTGGATATTCATAGAACAAGTTTTGGTTGGACTGAACTTTCCTACTAAATTTATTTAGTGGATCATGGAATGCTTGAAAACTGTATCCTACTCTATTCTTATCAATGGGTAACCAACAGAGTCTTTTAACGCAAAGAAAGGGTTAAGGTAGGAGGACCCAATGTCCCCGTTTCTATTTGTTCTAGTGATGGAATA